ATACGATTTTCAGATAAAAGCAGGACTGTGAATCAATACCTCTAGTTGCCCCCTTGATCACAGACTTCCTTGAAGTCATTAAGCAAATCAAGTCTTAGTTTCCCTTCCCTTAAAGTGAAAGAATATCTTCTTTCTCTTCCCACAAGAGCCTAATCTTTGTAACGTGCAGCGCTTGGGCTCATCACCTGCTCACAGTGAGGGTGCAGAGCAAATCCTTTTTAAAGCAGGATTCTCTTTGGCCAGCACTTGACACAACCTGCGCCTGACTTTGACGAGGCTCTGAAGACATTCCTGTAATGTAAAACACGTTCCTGCCTTATGTTCTCATCTGGAGTCCCCCAAAATTCCGGACAAACTCGAGTGCTGATCCTGGACTCCGCTCTGCCTGGGAAGGGAGGAGGGATGGGTCAGTCGGGCATTAGATTCTTTCAGGGTCTTGATTGACAAAGCTCGGTCTGTCTCCTGACAGTACAGAGTGGGTGCTCAGCAATACAGATGAGCTCAAAGACTATGTGTAAGAAACGAGTTTGAAAGTTCAACATGCTTGATTTCCAGTCCTCTGAATTTACTGCTCCAGGCAACAGGGCTCCTGTCAATTTTCAGGTGACAAATTCTCTCTCAGAGACCCGGCTGATCCTTCATTCACTTATTATTTAGACAACACAATACGACCTCAGTTTGAGTAGAGCTGATCCTTAGAACGTAAGAAAATCAAAAAGATCAAAGCTGCCCATGATGTGGCTGTGTGAGGTTATTTTGGTGAAGGTCTGCTTCAAGCATTATTCAGAAATTTCATTTCAAACAGCAATTGCCATTGACCTAGCCCACATATGCAAAACATAATTTTCAAAAGTAAAAGGAACTTGTTATTCAACATTGTTCCACATATTTTTCATAATAAAAATATTTCAGGCTCTTTAAAAAAAAAATCATACATTAAAGCAGCTGAACACTGCAACCACAGTTCCTTGTAAAACAAACATCAACTTCGTGTTGCTTCAGGTCCTACTAATGCTGTATCAGGGAAGCACTTTAAAACAAAGGAATAAAGAAGTAAGTCCAGGCTTAAAAATGAGACATCAAAAGGGGGTTTAGCAGGGGACAGAAACAGCTATTTTTACATCTTACGGTGATTTGGGTTATAATAATGTCCTTTTTCTTATACAAAAGAAGGGACTGGGACATTTCCAAAGGGAGAATTCAGCATTACTTCCAAAAATCTGTTCAAAATGCAATGGCACGCACTTTCAGAATTTTTTTTCCTTTTTCTGTTCTCCCTTCTATAACTTAAAGGGCGCTTCCTCTCCACTTGGCTCATTTCCACTGCCTCTGTGTCAGCTCGCTCTCTAGCATTTCGTATCACCTAGGCATCTCAGTGCCTTGGGCCCACATATTTACCCTATTTACAGACTCAAATCTGCAATTCATT